AGGCTTTGTATTTGTTTTGTTGACTTTGAAAAACATTATTTACTTCTTTGATGGTTAGATGTTACTACAGGAAGCTTACAGTACCATTTGTTCTTTTGCAAGTTCATTACATCTGGGTATGTTTGCCTATTCTTTCTTTCCTATTCTATTCGTTCAGATTCTTTATCAGCATTAGCCCCTTCGACAAATGTGATTCTTTGAAGATTATAGGTCAGTATTAGATCCTTCTGGACATAGGAATCTGTGGAGAGTCTAGGGCAGTATTCAATCCTTCTGGACATAAGAATCTGTGGAGATTCTAGGGCAATATTCAATCCTTCAGGACATAGGAATCTGTGGAGATTCTGGGGCAGTATTAGGTCCTTCTGGACATAAGAACCTGTGGAGATTCTAGGGCAGTATTCGATCTTTCTGGACATATGAATCTGTGGCGGTTCTGGGGCAGTATTAGATCCTTCTGGACATAGGAATCAGCAGAGATACTAGGGCAGTATTAGATCCTTCCGGACAAACGAACCTGTGGAGATTTTGGGGCAGTATTAGATCCTTCTGGATATAGCAATCTGCGGAGATTTGGGGACTGCATATAACTCCAGTGGTCACAGTCATGTATATCCCAATGTCTTTTGTTAGGGACAACATTGACTGTCAGTGGTTTACCTGTTCATCAAGTCCAGATCTCCTGGATGGAGTTGACATATGACTGACAGGGTCAAAGAAATCCGCCATGAATCAGTGCCGTTGTAAACTCCATGACTGTCACATGTGGGGTACAAATACAGGATTTCATTACCAATAAAAGCTATCAAACTTATTTTTAGATACACGGTGAATTTAAAGAAAACACATTGATGATTCTTTGATAGATCTCTCATAGAACAGCATGCCATGTTTTCCATTACATACAGTTGATTGCAATTCATTATAACACTTATTTTTGCAGATGAGTTTTAAAGTCCTTCTAAGACAAATGATGCAACTATTGAAAGCTGTTAATTCCCAGGAGTTCATCGCAATCCATGATAATGTGTACAGTAAATCATGGATAATTCAAATGCACGATACTTACTGTCCAAGCCATTCATTAATTGCATAGAACTTGCTGCCAGTGTAGCAGAATCAATAGTGCACAATTTTTAGCATGAATTATTTATTCATGGAAACAGATAAAACCCAAATTAATTATATAAATATAAAAGAAAGTTGTGATATTTTATACACACACCAGCTATAGTTAATGACCACAGTTTAAAGCTCCCAGATTCTGAGTTTATGTTATGTGCTGTTTATCCATAGTGATAGTGTTCCTTGTGTGTTATCAATATGTTGTGGTTGCCATAAGCATGTGTTTTTCTCTAGAATTAAAGAAACTACAAAATCAAAGAAATATGGTGTCACACTGCCTTCAATGGAAGTAAAACTTATGACCCTGTGTTCAGCTTTGTTCCTTGGTTATGCTGACAAAGATTTCTTTCCTTGATGCATCTTACTTGGATGACATTCCAGAGACTTTGTGTTGTTTCAACTGAAACAAGTACTACATGACTTCAGCCTTGTTGTGCATCAGCTTCCAGAGGCTTGAGTTTGTTGATGTGTGAATCATTAATCATGACAGCTTTATGAAGAATTAAACAAAGTGTCTGCTTCAGTCAGGGAAGGGATGGTAGGACAAACCCATGTTGAATGCTTCAAGCTGATGAGTGTATTCAGTCGGAACTTTAAAAAAACAGACTGAATTAAAGCAATATCCTATTGACCTGTTGGGAATTGATTTATTGGTAACCAGATAACATATTGACCCAGTGGTAGCTTCAGGAGACATGGTTAGTTGATCCATTGAAGTCCCTTCCAGGGCCTCCTTTCATAAAGCATTAAGGTGATGATCGTAAGTAACTTAGGTAACCTTAGTGCAATGTTAAAAAATGGGAGTTAAGGTTAACCTTAGTAAACATTGCTTCGTGAAAGGAGCCCTTGGTCAACTAAACTTCAATAGATAGTTTAAGTCGACCCAGTGGTACCTTTAGGCGATAGGTTAAGTCGACCCAGTGGTAACTTTATGAGATAGGTTAAGTCGACCCACTGGTAACTTTAGGAGATAGGTTAAGTTGACCTAGTGATAACTTTAGGAGATAGGTTAAGTCAACCCAGTGGTAACTTTAAGAGATAGGTTAAGTCGACCCAGTAGTATGTTCAGGAACCTGATTGATTTGACCCAGTGGGGACTTCTAGAGTCAGATAGAGTTGACTCATTGGCAACCCAGCAGCACAGTTCAGGCAGTGTTGAGTTTACTCAGTGGTTAATTCAGGAGACTCATTGAGATGATGTTTGTATTGGAGACGGAAAGGATGGACTCTACTCTTTCTTAAATTTGATGTAGACAGTTAGCACTGTGATGCCTGAGGCAGTTCTGTCTGGTGGTAATAACGTGTGGCTTCAAATTGGTGTCTTGGGATAGAGGTTTAGGCAGACAGTTACAACCTTCACAATTGCACAGCTGAGGTGTGAATGAGTTACTGTTTTCTCTGTTTAATTATTTTCATAACCAAATAAGTAGCTGTCCATGCTCTTTATTCCCTTGGTTTGAAGAACAGAGGGGGATAAAGCAATCAGCATGATCCATCTGTCCAAAATCTATTTTCTTTTTCCTCAACTGTTCAATATTTCATTTTGAAATTGTTATATAGATCAGTTGAGTGGCTAACTGTAAAATGGTGCCTTTTGATGTTAAGAGAATTGGGGTGTTTTTTGTGTAGTTTTTGGTTTTGCTTTCATGATAACAAGTTTTACTTATGCCCAAAATGAGGATAGAGCTCATTTGTGGAGCAGAACACCAAAAATGGTGAATATTTCCAGACAAAACTTGATATACAGATCAATCTAATGGTGATCATATGCTTTTTGATTACTTGGATGTTTAGTTTTTAATTTGTTTTTGTTTTCACTTGTAGAACTCTCCTGAAAATGAAGGTACTGCTTGTTTCTGGAGCCTACCAAAACAGTTAAATGTTTTTATTCAGACTGGTTATCCAATACATGAAATGATGTTGTAGGGTACCCCAGGATGTTGTAGGGTACCCCAGGAGTTTGACCTGTACATGTTGTTGGGTACCCCAGGAGTTTGACCTGTACATGTTGTAGGGTACCCCAGCAGTTTGACCTGTACATGCTGTTGGGTACCCAAGCAGTTTGACCTGTACATGTTGTAGGGTACCCCAGGAGTTTGACCTGTACATGTTGTAGGGTACCTCAGCAGTTTGACCTTTACATGTTGTAGGGTTCCCCAGGAGTTTGACCTGTACATGTTGTAGGGTACCCCAGGAGTTTGACCTTTGCATGTTGTAGGGTACCCCAGGAGTTTGACCTGTACATGTTGTTGGGTACCCCAGGAGTTTGACCTGTACATGTTGTAGGGTACCCAAGCAGTTTGACCTGTACATGTTGTAGGGTACCCAAGCAGTTTGACCTGTACATGTTGTTGGGTTCCCCAGGAGTTTCACTTTTACATGTTGTAGGGTACCCCAGGAGTTTGACCTTTACATGTTGTTGTTGGGAGAGTTTGACCCATGTTGTACAGTACAGTTTGACCTGTACATGTTGTAGGGTACCCCAGGAGTTTGACCTGTACATGTTGTAGGGGTACCCAAGCAGTTTGACCTGTACATGTTGTTGGGTACCCCAGCAGTTTGACCTGTACATGTTGCCCAAGCAGTTTGACCTGTACAGTTTGACCCCAGTTTGACCTGTACATGTTGTAGGGTACCCCAGGAGTTTGACCTGTACATGTTGTAGGGTACCCCAGGAGTTTGACCTGTACATGTTGTTGGGTACCCCAGGAGTTTGACCAGGAGTTTGACCTGTACAGTTTGACCTGTACATGTTGTAGGGTACCCCAGGAGTTTGACCTGTACATGTTGTTGGGTAGATTTACCCCCCAGAGTTTGACCCCAGGAGTTTGACCTGTACATGTTGTAGGGTACTTTACAGCAGTTTGACCTGTACATGTTGTAGGGTACCCCAGGAGTTTGACCTGTACATGTTGTAGGGTACCCCAGGAGTTTGACCTTTACATGTTGTAGAGCAGTTTGACCTGTACATGTTGTTGGGTACCCCAGGAGTTTGACCTGTACATGTTGTAGGGTACCCAAGCAGTTTGACCTGTACATGTTGTTGGGTACCCCAGCAGTTTGACCTGTACATGTTGTAGGGTACCCCAGGAGTTTGACCTGTACATGTTGTAGGGTACCCCAGGAGTTTGACCTGTACATGTTGTAGGGTACCCCAGGAGTTTGACCTGTACATGTTGTACCCCAGGGTACCCCAGGAGTTTGACCTTTACACCTTTACATGTTGTTGGGAGTTTGACCTTTACATGTTGTAGGGGTACCCCAGCAGTTTGACCTGTACATGTTGTATGGGTACCCAAGCAGTTTGACCTTTACATGTTGTAGGGTACCCAAGCAGTTTGACCTGTACATGTTGTTGGGTACCCAAGCAGTTTGACCTTTACATGTTGTAGGGTACCCCAGGAGTTTGACCTGTACATGTTGTTGGGTACCCCAGGAGTTTGACCTGTACATGTTGTAGGGTTCCCCAGGAGTTTGACCTGTACATGTTGTAGGGTACCCCAGGAGTTTGACCTGTACATGTTGTTCGGTACCCAAGCAGTTTGACCTTTACATGTTGTAGGGTACCCCAGGAGTTTGACCTTTACATGTTGTAGGGTTCCCCAGGAGTTTGACCTGTACATGTTGTAGGGTACCCCAGGAGTTTGACCTGTATATGTTGTCAGGTTCCCCAGGAGTTTGACCTGTACATGTTGTTAGGTTCCCCAGGAGTTTGACCTGTATATGTTGTTAGGTTCCCCAGGAGTTTGACCTGTACATGTTGTTAGGTTCCCCAGGAGTTTGACCTGTATATGTTGTCAGGTACATGTATGTGTTTTGGACCTATACATGATGTAGTCTTCCCCCAGAGTTTGTAACATGTGTTTCTGTTGTAGGCTGCCCCGGGGGTTGTTACATGCCTGGACAACCAGATGCATGGCCTTGAGTCTGATGCCACAGTGACCTTCAAGGAGGTCAAAGGGATGACCTCACTCAATGGTCAACTTTTCCAGATGAAAGGTAAATTTCACCATTAATGTGGAATGGAACTAAATTTGAAATAGGACTGTTCTTGTTGATTTCTCAAATTTGTGATGACTTTTGGAATTATTCTCCTGCATGCCTGTCTTGGTGTGCTTTCAAAATCAGCTTGGATAAATGTCTTAAAAGTTGCTTGCTCTGTATTGTCATCATAATGATTATCAAATATTAAAATTATGATTTTATTATTTTTGTCGGTACGTTTTGTTATTCATGAATTGGTTTAATATTTCAACATTGCAGCAATATTGGCAGAATTGTTGTATAACAGATTAAAATATTCACTTTTGTGTTCCAGTGTTAACACCATACACATTCAGCATCTGTGATACATCTGGGGAGGAACACAAACCATATGAGGGCGGAGGAATCGTTGTTCCTGTCAAACTGCCAAAGAAATTCCACTTTGTAAGTTTTTCACCAAGAACCATGTGACAATAGTGTCATTTAAACTGGCACCTAATGGCACTGCATGGCAAGTCTAAGTTCAACATCATCTAAAGTATTACAAGGTCTTAAATAAATTAATCCATTACAAAACTATTTTAACTCCATCTGATCCAGTGAATACTCCCATACTTCGGGGGGGCTGAGGATAATCTTTTACTGCCAGGGGTTAGATGGCCCAATAGTCTACATCCATAAGGCATGCCAGAATCATAATGATCATAGGTTTCATTCCCTTTGCCTTGACTTGACATCATCGTATTAGAACTTACAAACTGATAACAATCCTCCATTATAAGCTGACACATCTGGACAAAACTGAAATACTGGCCTAAAGCCCAAATCACCCATGAAGATCCATGCGAGAATTGATCTTCAGTAACCTATACTTGTCATAAGGGGTGACGAACGATGTCAGGCGGTCAGGTCACTGACTTGGTTGACACATGTCATCGTATCCCAATTGCGTAGATCGATGCTCATGCTGTTGATCACTCTGTTGTCTATTCCAGACTTGATTATTTACAGACCGCCGCCATATAGCTGGAATTTTGCTGAGTGCAAAACTGAAACTCACTCTATTACTAAACCCAAATCTTTCAGATTCACCTCTGAAAGCTCTTCAAGAAAGTAAAAGTATTTTTCTCAATGACTGGGTGAACGGGTCATAATTAATTATTAGTCAAGCTGCATCTGGCCAACATTGATCTACAATGGAGTACATTGTACCAAACAAACCGAGTTAGGCATGCCCTGAACAGATTCACCCACAGAAGCTTTTATGGAACCCTTCTGATAAAGGCCAAGACTAAGTGAATGGTTTATGTTGTGAGAAGAGTCTAGTTGCCTGTACATTTACAGCATAGAAGGCTGATCTTGCAGGCCACTGTTCTCTGTCCTCAGGCCTTGGCTTCTCACTGATAGCACCATTTACCTTCACCCTTGGCACTCACACCATTTGACCATCTTGACCACCATTTGGCTGTTCAGTTAGGACCTACTTGTAAGAGGTTTTCTGTATAGATGAGAAGCTGTTGACTGGAAGCCTACCACTAAGCGTATTATGGGTTGAAATAATTAAGTTAATGCATTAACTGAAATTGTTAGCAATTAGTGGCTTTGAAGTATGTTATTAATTGTATTGGCCAAAAGTAAATCTCCTTAAGGGTGTTGAAAGATTTTTGACCCAGAAGAGCTTCTATCAAGGCTCAGTTATGTAGTGTTTGTCAGGAAGCATTCTCAAAACTTTCTTCTGAGGCAACTGAAACAATCATGTGTTTGCTGGACAACCTTTCAATGATAACAGTTTTGTTCCCTTCATCCCTGTTTCGTACCGACAGAATGAGTTATGACTAGGGAATTTGACATCATATCTCTTTACCCCAGTGTACTAGTATTTGTTATCCCCCCGCAACGCGTTATGCGGGTGTATTTGTCTTTTGCCGGAGCAGAACATAAAAAAATGTTCACTATTTCTTCACCAGACTTGGCACATAGATTGTTGTGATGGGGAACTTGTGCCTTTTGGTAGTTCTGGATTTCTGAATAAAAATGTTTTGCGTTTCCATGGCAACAAGTTTGACTTCGAGTGAAATTAGTATTGGTGTTATTTTCTGGAGCAGAACGTTCAAACCGTTTATTATTTCTTCACCAAACTTGGCACATAGATTGGTCTGGTGGTGAACTGGTGCCTTTTGGTAGTTTTGGATTTCCAAATAAAATTTTTGTGCATTTCCATGGCAAATTGGCTTCGACTGAATTTGGTGGTAGTGCTCTTTTCTGGTACAGAACTTTAAAACCGTTCAATGATTCTTCACCACATTTGGCACCAGATAGGTCTAGTGGTGAACTGGGTTTTATTGTATAGTTTTGGATTTCTGAATAAAATAATTTTTGCATTTCCATGGCAACAAGTTTGACTTTGACTGAAATTGGTGGTAGTGATCCGTTCCGGTGCAGAACTTTAAAACCTTTCACTACTCTCTTTCCACTTTGTGGGTATCCAAGAACCTAATGACATAAATCAAGGGTACCACTCTATTTCTATCAACATTACTAAGGTACATCAAACCGTACATTTCACATAGTCATTACTAGTTAACATATTCATGAAGAGTATTTTACATTTACAGGGGAGATTGATGACTTGTCTTGTTACATTTCGTTTTGATATTTGAAGAATATAACTTTCTACAAACTGATTACTTGTTGCTTATGAATGTTTCAAATTCTGCCAGCAGCGTTATGCCGATAGCTTCAAGTCGAAGTTGACATCAATTTCTTACAATGCATGTCTTTGTTCAACCAGTTGAAACGCTACAGAATTTATCTAGACATTCCAGGGAGTCAATAATAGTGAGGTAGTCACATTTTGCTGAAGTGACTAACACCTTTTTTATGTCATAGCTTGAATATTTGACAGCCAGCTGTGGCCTTACGCTATAAATGTAGCTGTTACACCATGTACAGTGGCAGTTGACGATGGCCTCCAACACGGATATTGGGAAGGGAACGTGTGAATGGTAGCTGGCATTGTTATCCCTCTTTGACATAAACGTGCTGCTTCAAGGATGTCATTTGTTTCCTACATACATCATTGTACTGTCCTTCACATACTACAGGAGTGTTTGTTGACAAGGGTCACACTGACATGGACTACGCTACCTGTTAATGCAGGTCCAGATCAACACGTATGGCTAGCTAATCTGGTTTACTTGACAATAAACAAACAGCAGAATATTTACAATCAGTTCTGAAATTTGAGAAATATTACTACATGTTCATACTAATTTGCCATCTTTCACACATGTGTATATATATTTGGCAAGGACGTTTTCTAGAAAAAGGAAATAATGGTGTGGCACAAGTGTTATCTCTGAATGGCGCAACTATGTTGTCTTGGAAGAATCCTAATCCGTCCTGTCCCTGTCTGCTGCTGTAGAAGTGGCAGCAAGGTAGCACCCTAATCCTCCCTCCTACTCTGTATTGATCCACTGGCTTGAAGCAAGGGTTGTTATTACATATATTTACATGTCTGTGATGCATGAGGCCATATAAGTGTACATTAACCTAACAACAAAATTGTGGAGTGGGTCTCACCTTCGATGATATTATCGGGCTGACAAAATAGTTCTGGAATATGTAGTCACTGTAGGGCAAGCAAGATGTCTACAGCATCAATCATAATCTATAAAAAGAACTATGGCTGGAATAATATGCTCAATATGAATTATCTTTATGTTCACAGAATAGCCAAATATCTACAAATAAAATAAAGTGACACTTAAGTCCACTGAAAAAGATATTCATTAATAGTAAAAAGAATGACGTGTTTATAGGCCTTTGTTACCTGTCACTGGGACATTTCACATTTGGTGAAAGTCCCAAACCTGCTTGTAGAGCTGGTAGACAAGTTAAAGGAGCTTATTAATGTTGGTGACAACAACATTTGGTGAAGTCCCAAACCTGCTTGTAGAGCTGGTAGACAAGTTAAAGGAGCTTATTAATGTTGGTGACATGAAATACATCAGGATATTACAGAGCATTGTTCTGTGGAACTAAATTATGATTCAGTTACAAAATGGCAGGAAAAGGTGTTGTTACATGTCAACTGGCCATGGATTCTGAGGATTGGCAACCATGTGTGTGGTTTATGAAAGCATTTGAGGATTTTACAAAGCCCATAAAACCAAACATTTGAATTAATAATGATAAATGGTTGAGATTTGTTTCATGTACAGAATAGCCTTGGTCATTAAGGCACCAAACTGGATCAGTTATTAAGTGAGTGAATGTTGTTTGAAACCACAACCAGCAATTTTCCAGCAATGTCATGTCAGCCTGTAAATATTCAGTTCTGACACAGTCAAACCAGTGACAGGGGGCAAGAGCTGTGACCTGTCCCAATTTAGCATTTGGGTTCAGGTGTAATATTTTGCCACAGGATGAGGCTTAATTGTCCCCCGCCGCCACGCGGAACGGGAGACTATGTATTCAGCGGCGTCTGTATGTACGTCCCGATTCTTGTTAACGCAATATCTCATGAACTGTTGTATCCAAGGTCTTCAAATTTGGTGACAGCCTACATTGGGAGATTACCCAGACACCAGTCGATTTGGGTGACCTTGACCTTATCTTCAAGGTCACCACGACACTTTAACCACTTTTCAAACGCTTGTTAACGCGATATCTCATGATCTGTTGCACCCTATGTCTTCAAATGTGGACACTAGTCGATTTTGGTGACCTTGACCTTATCTTCAAGATCACCACGACACTTTGAACACTATTCAAACTGTTGTTAACGCGATATCTCATGAACTGTTGTACACTATGTCTTCAAATGTGGTGACAGCCTACATTGGGGGATTACCCAGACACTCGTCGATTTTGGTGACCATGACCTAATCTTCAAGGTCATCACGACACTTTGACCACTTTTCAACTTATGTAAACGCGATATCTCATAAAACATTGCACCCAATGTCTTCAATTATGTTGACAGCTTACATTGGGTGATTATGCAGACACCAGTCATTTCAGGCATCTTGTATGTGACCCCAAAATAAAAAGTAGTAAATATGTTATAATTATTCCATTCTTTAGCAGCTGGAGACATTGCCACATCAGTGGCAAACACTTGTTGTTGTTTGTATGCACTCAGACGTGTGTCTTTTCCTTTCCAGAAATCTTTAGAGAGCCAGCTCACTTGCCCAAGCTTGACCATTCCAGATCTGTCCAAGTTCCAGGTGAGTTCTTCATAACTTTGAAGATTGCCTCCATGTTGTTGTATATATAGTGTCTGCCTGGAGTGGTTCGATCATGTTAGAGGGTAGTAGGTGTCGTTACCTTCACTGGCTCTCGGTGCAAAGGAGATAAAACAAGGACTCGTTGACTTGGATTCAGTCTATTGTGTGTGGGTAGGTATCCATGTCATGGTATCTCAGTGGGCTTGCACTGAACTGACAAAAAGTCCAGGGCCCCGTTCCTCAAAGTGATCGTAGCGCAAAGTTGATCGTAACTCCCATACTTTAACATAGACTTACGACTTTTGTAGTGCTACGATAGCTTTGAGGAACGGGGCCCTGGCCAGTACAGGTAGCCACACATACATTCATGCATGTCATGTTACATGAAATAATATGTGACATTAAACATTTCATCTCACCTCGCTGCTTTAATACCGCCAGCCACTATTCACCCACAGTAACAGCTCACATTAAAAGAGACCCGTGGAGATCCGGGTAAAAATTGATCTTCAGTAACCCATGCTTTTCGTAAAAGGCAACTAATTGGATCGGGTGGTCAGGCTCGCTGACTGGGTTGACACATGTCATTGTATCACAATTGCGTAGATTGATGCTCATGCTTTTGATCACTTGATTGTCTAGTCCAAACTTGATTATTTACAGATGGCCGCCATATAGCTGGAATATAGTAAAACTAAACTCACTCACTCTCATTACAAGAGTCATACATTAAGCAGTTGGATTCAACAAAACAAATAATTAAAAACTATGTCAGATGAAATGTAAATAGATTTATGTGAATATTTCACATGGGAATAAACAGAAGTTTCATTTTTTAAAACAATGGCTGAGTGAAATTATTTTTCCATACATCAGACATGAAGACCAAATTTCTTTTAGTCATTTCATGGATAGTAGAATTTGTGTATACATAATTTCATATGGATTGAAAATTATTGAAGTATTAGCCACTCTCCACTAGTTTTGACAGGTGGCCCAGTTGTGTAATGATAGAGCAAGAAGTTGTGTGCGCATGTTGCTGTTGTGGTTTGAATACCGGTACTCATGGATGACAAGTGATAACATATGGTTGTGTGATAATAATAGTAGGTTGTGATGACCTTCCTTCAATGAGCAACAGATGCTATATTTCACTTGTTACATGCAGTTCAACCTGGAGATGTATTGATTTTAGACAGATTAAAAAAATGGTGTTTCAAGTACCACATCCACAGCAGATATGGGTTGGTACATAGTTTTTAAGACAGGTATTTGATAGGATAGGACAGACTGGGTCTGTGTCTGTGTCCTGTCCCTGTCTGTGGTCATATATATATATATATATGTAACTCATACAGTGTCCTGGTGCAGTTTATTGTTTGCTGTGTCCTACCCATGCCTATGACCTACGCTGTGTCCTGTCCCTGTCTGGGATCTGTTACTCTGTGTCCTGTCCCTGTCTGGGGTCTGCTACACTGTGTCCTGTCTATAGTCTGCTAGACTGTGTCCTGTCCCTGGCTGTGGTCTGCTACACTGTGTCCTGTCCCTGTCTATAGTCTGCTACACTGTGTCCTGTCCCTGTTTGTGGTCTGCTAACACTGTGTCCTGTCCCTGTTCTGGGTCTGCTACACAGTGTCCTGACCTCGTGTGTGGTCTGCTACACTGTGTCCTGTCCCTGTCCCTATTCTGGTCTGCTACACTGTGTCCTGTCCCTGTCTGGTGTACCTGTGTCCTGTCCCTGTCTGTGGTCTGCTACACAGTGTCCTGTCCCTGTCTGTGGTCTGCTACTCTGTGTCCTGTGTCCCAGTGTCCTGACCCTGTCTGTGGTCTGCTACTCTGTGTCCTGTCCCTGTCTCTGGTCTGCTACTCTGTGTCCTGTCCCTGTCTATGGTCTGCTACACTGTGTCCTGTCCCTGTTTGTGGTCTGCTACACTGTGTCCTGTCCCTGTCTGTGGTCTGCTACACTGTGTCCTGTCCCTGTCTGTGGTCTGCTACACAGTGTCCTGACCCTGTGTGTGGTCTGCTACTCTGTGTCCTGTCCCTGTCTCTGGTCTGCTACTCTGTCCTGTCCTGTCTCCCTACACTGTGTCCTGTCTGTGGTCTGCTACACTGTGTCCTGTCCCTGTCTGTGGTCTGCTACACTGTGTCCTGTCCCTGTCTGTGGTCTGCTACCTGTGTCCTGTCCCTGTTCAGTGTCCTGTCTGTGGTCTGCTACTCTGTGTCCTGTCCCTGTCTGTGGTCTGCTACTCTGTGTCCTGTCCCTGTCTGTGGTCTGCTACACTGTGTCCTGTCCCTGTCTGTGGTCTGCTACTCTGTGTCCTCCCTGTCTGTGGTCACTGTGTCCTGACCCTGTCTGTGGTCTGCTACACTGTGTCCTGTCCTGTCTGTGGTCTGCTACTCTGTGTCTCCCTGTCCCTGTGGTCTGCTACAGTGTCCTGTCCTGTCTGTGGTCTGCTACTCTGTGTCCTGTCCCTGTCTATAGTCTGCTGTGTCCTGTCCCTGTTTGTGGTCTGCTACACTGTGTCCTGTCCCTGTCTGTGGTCTGCTACACTGTGTCCTGTCCCTGTCTGTGGTCTGCTACACAGTGTCCTGACCCCGTGTGTGGTCTGCTACTCTGTGTCCTGTCCCTGTCTCTGGTCTGCTACTCTGTGTCCTGTCCCTGTCTATAGTCTGCTACACTGTGTCCTGTCCCTGTCTGTGGTCTGCTACACAGTGTCCTGTCCCTGTCTGTGGTCTGCTACACTGTGTCCTGTCCCTGTCTCTGGTCTGCTACACTGTGTCCTGTCCCTGTCTGTGGTCTGCTACTCTGTGTCCTGTCCCTGTCTGTGGTCTGCTACTCTGTGTCCTGTCCCTGTCTGTGGTCTGCTACACTGTGTCCTGTCCCTGTCCCTGTCTGTGGTCTGCTACACTGTGTCCTGTCCCTGTCTGTGGTCTGCTACACTGTGTCCTGTCCCTGTCTGTGGTCTGCTACTCTGTGTCCTGTCCCTGTCTGTGGTCTGCTACTCTGTGTCCTGTCCCTGTCTGTGGTCTGCTACTCTGTGTCCTGTCCCTGTCTGTCCCTGTCTGTCTGCTACTCTGTGTCCTGTCCCTGTGTGGTCTGCTACTCTGTGTCCTGTCCCTGTCTGTGGTCTGCTACTCTGTGTCCTGTCCCTGTCCTGTGTCCCTGTGGTCTGCTACTCTGTGTCCTGTCCCTGTCTGTGGTCTGCTACACTGTGTCCTGTCCCTGTCTGTGGTCTGCTACACTGTGTCCTGTCCCTGTCTGTGGTCTGCTACACTACACTGTGTCCTGTCCCTGTCTGTGGTCTGCTACTCTGTCCTGTGGTCTGCATTACTCTGTGTGTCCTGTCCCTGTCTGTGTGGTCTGCTGGTCTGCTACTCTGTGTCCTGTCCCTGTCTGTGGTCTGCTACTCTGTGTCCTGTGCTACCCCTGTGTCTGTGGTCTGCTACTCTGTGTCCTGTCTGCTACACTGTGTGGTCTGCTACACTGTGTCCTGTCCCTGTCTGTGGTCTGCTACACTGTGTCCTGTCCCTGTCTGTGGTCTGCTACTCTGTGTCCTGTCCCTGTCTGTGGTCTCTACACTGTGTCCTGTCCCTGGCTGTGGTCTGCTGTCCCCCTGTCTGTGTCTGCTACTCTGTGTCCTGTCCCTGTCTGTGGTCTGCTACTCTGTGTCCTGTCCCTGTCTGTGGTCTGCTACTCTGTGTCCTGTCCCTGTCTGTGGTCTGCTACTCTGTGTCCTGTCCCTGTCTGTGGTCTGCTACTCTGTGTCCTGACCCTGTGTGTGGTCTGCTACACTGTGTCCTGTTCCTGTCTGTGGTCTGCTACTCTGTGTCCTGTCCCTGTCTCTGGTCTGCTACTCTGTGTCCTGTCCCTGTCTGTGGTCTGCTACACTGTGTCCTGACCCTGTCTGTGGTCTGCTACACTGTGTCCTGTCCCTGTCTGTGGTCTGCTACTCTGTGTCCTGACTCCTCCTGTCCCTACACTGTCTGTCCTGTCTGCTACACTGTGTCCTGTCCCTGTCTGTGGTCTGCTACTCTGTGTCCTGTCCCTGTCTCTGGTCTGCTACTCTGTGTCCTGTCCCTGTCTGTGGTCTGCTACACTGTGTCCTGTCCCTGTCTGTGGTCTGCTACTCTGTGTCCTGACCCTGTGTGTGGTCTGCTACACTGTGTCCTGTTCCTGTCTGTGGTCTGCTACTCTGTGTCCTGTCCCTGTCTCTGGTCTGCTACTCTGTGTCCTGACCCTGTGTGTGGTCTGCTACACAGTGTCCTGACCCTGTGTGTGGTCTACTGAACATAATTGAACGGACAACGAGTGAGACACAAATTTGAAACATTTTGACGTGCACTTACTGCATTCAGACATAAATATTAGGATGCATTTTTCTGTAATAGGTTGCACTGGTGGATGTTATATATTAGCTAATTCTAAAATGCTTAACAAATGATCAAAGGCCTCGAGTACTTTAAGTAACTTTTTGGCATCATGCCACACTGAACTGATGTCACTGTGCCATTCTAGCCTGATCTCTCAATATCAGACGCACCTTTGGTAACTGTATGTCAGTTGTCATTAACAGTCTCTAACAGCGCAACTCCCCCAGTTAACACTCTGTTTCATGATTTGCAGTTGCTTCAGTCAGCTAACGTCGCTGGTGGAAACTGTATGTTTAACTTGAGTCACAGTTAAACAGCGACATGGCAATGTTAGTAACTGGGCCTATGTCCACACTCCCTCAGTGTGATGTAGAATGTCGTGGGGCTAGTCAGTTTAATGTTGATGTACTCATCTAACTTTTCATCACTTGTTCTATTGGCAGAGAGTATCTTAACATGGAGGGGCAGACACAGTAGAACAGCATGTCACTGTCTGAGTGCTTTAACCTTATAACAGTCCAGGGCAAATCTGTGCTTTATTACACTATACATGAGGGTAGACTGAACTCTATTTCCTAATTCGAGTCTTGTTACAAGTTACAACATGTGACATTGGCTTATATAATGGG